AGGTGTTGTCAAAATCTTTTAGATTCTTAACATTTACTCTTTTAATTATTACGATTTTATTGAATGCTTTTATCAATGCATCGCCAATTCTCTCAGAAAAACGTACAGCAGTTAATGTTGCTATTGCAAGATTTGATAACGGCGGTAATGTAAAAAGAGTTTCTGGTGAAATCCGGTTTGCACAGATTTCAAAAACAATTACACGTATAACTGGACAATTCAACACTGGTTTTGTAAGTAAAATAAAAATGATTACAAATTCTTCATGGTTAATGATGATGGTAAAGTAATAGTCAATCTTACTGATAAAATTAGAGATCAATTGTTTATTAATCGTCCTGGAACTGGACCATTAGAATTTGACAAAAAACTCAAAGTTAGAGATATGGCGAGTTTATTGTTCGCTCAAGACGAGGATGGAGAAGAAATTGGAAATATGCGAATCAAACCTGAGCCTGAACCTGAATAATTAATACAATTAATTGTTAATGTTTATTATGTATAATGTGATTTATGATGATTTTTAATGTATTAATATTACTAATTCTTCTAATATTAATGCTTTCTTGAGAATTAAATCATGTATTTTCTTTAAGACAATTTGTATTAATATTTCCGAATAAACAGATACATACATGTTTTTAATACTTGACCGCGGGTGTGAGTTACAATTTTTAAAGCAATTTACTACAAATAGTGATATAAAAACGTTGGCTTGCTGAGCCGTTTAAAAATTCCTTAGCCAGCTGACATCATTACTACGGTGCAGATCATCTATAATCATTAATTGCTTATAGTGACAATTGGTCAACTTCAAAATACTAAAACAAAAAAAAAAAAAATTATTATTATATTATTTCAAAAAATTTAACGATAAATTTTATTGTTCACGACCCAAGCTTCAAACTTATCGGCTGGTTTTTTCTTAAACTGAAAATTGGCAAAGCCTTAGCATTTTGAAAATTCCGAATTTTGTTATACATTTAAGAAATTGAGACTAAGTAAATTCGTGTAACAAATTTTTTTTCATAGAATATTTTCTACAACATACATTTGATTTATTTGATTTATTTATTTCCTTTTTTTTATTAATAGATAAAAAGTTCCTTACAACAAAAAAGTTTAACGAACATAACATTAAAAGAAAATCATTACCAAATTTGGTCGTGAGATTCAAAATATTGTAACTTTCAAATTTAAAAAATCTATGAAAAGAAAATTTGAGACAAAATTTTTTTTTATATTAATAGACTCCCTTTTTAAAGCTGAATTGAATGATGGCGGTTTTTTTAAAATCCAATGCATGGATTACATAATATTTCAAAATGTTTAACTTTTATCAAGTTTTATCAATGCTATCAGTTCCTAACTTTCATAAATTTTTGACCAATAGCGTTTCACACAAATTCCTACTATCAATAATACCGAAAAAGATACGCCAGAAAGCCCTATGATTCTCACACCAAATAAAACGATAATTTTTGAACATATGTATGATCAGTATTCGTCGGCATACATTATTTGTGCATTTCATTCTGCCATCAATTATATCGAGAAATCAAACAATTAATAGGAAAGATTGAAAATTTATTTTTAGATAACAGTATTGTAAAGAAGTTGGAATCCATATTCGATGCAGATCCTAGTGTCGTTGGATCAAAAATAATATTGGAAACAACAACACACTATAGCGATCAATCAGAAACCGGAAGGTTTCTTTTTTTATTAAACATTCTTTTTTAGCCTTTACGTCAAATTTCGAATATAGAAATCCAAAAATTTTTGATCGTGAAATCTCTGAGCGAACATTTACTGTTGAATGTATGTCTCCAATATTCAAGTCATTCAGAAATGCATTTCCGGAAATCAAGTACGATTGGATTGAAAAAGAAGTGGATTCAATTAAGATTGCCAATAAAATGTTTATGACGCAAGCTAGATTAAGAAAGACTGACCTTCTTGTCACCCATTTGGTAGATGGCAAAGAGATTGTGATGTTGAGGTTTCCGGTCCACCTTATAATCCACAAGAATCACATACAGTAGGAGATATAAAAAAATTGTTGATGATGGCAGTCTGTAATTTGTGCTACATATTTGGAAATGATCTTAATTGCAAGATTGAAGATGCAAAAAAAAATCAAATCATTTAGTATACAAGTAATCGGGGATAGAT